GGAAATGGGGGGAAAATAATACCCCATGGTTTGGGGGAAAAAGCATTTCTTCCAGATGCTGGGCCACTCCTGGGCTGTGCTGGGCAACCCGCCTTCCCTAAGCTTCGAGGGTATCGAGAGGGCTGTGGACTATCTGTTTGCTGGGATTTGCAGCATTGTTTTGAGGTTGAGAGCTGGATAAAGAGGCTTTTCCCAGGCTGGGCGTCCCTGGCAGCCTGGTAGTCCTCTCTGGGGTGGACTGGTCGCTAGCCATGCTCAGCGTCTCTCCTGCACTATTGCAGCAGGGAAGTCCACGTCTCGGCCCCAGCAGACTGCAGATGGGGACTCCCACCTTGGTGGCTAATCCAGCAGTCCCCCCCTTTACCGCCCCCCCTGCGTCTTTGCCTTGGGCTGTGACTTTTGACACGGGCAGGACACATTTAGCAGTGTGCTCTGAATGCTCCGCCAGTGGTGATCCAGAGGGTTGTGAGCTGTGGGGCTGTGTCACAGCTCCTGCCAGAGTGACACCAGAGCTGGCATCACCATCCCAGCCATTGCAGGGGACCCTCGTCCCAGCAGATGCCAGGGGCAGGTAAGAGCCACCAACAGCTGATGTGGCTCTCCATGTGCAGGGAGAAGGATCCTCACCGTGACTGGTGATTCAGTATTCTCATTTGGTTTTTTTCAAAGTTATTTAGACTGCATCGGAGCAAAGAGCAGCAAGTTTTTAACACTGACTGATTTTTCCTCTGAGATGTCTTTCCTTGCTCCCTGTGGCAATGAGGATTTTGACAAAGCCTCCCAAGGAAACCACAAATATAACCCAGAGCAATGCAATCAGTGTGAAAAAGCGTGATGTGGTGCTTAGGTTGGACGTGCCCATTTCTTTTGGTGAGGCAGCTTGGGAAAGCCCAGCACTACACAGGCAAACCCTAAAGACATTTTGAGGGAAAAGAAAAAAGAAAAAAAAGAAAAACTTCCTTTTTTTTTTTTTTTTTTTTTCTTCATTTAAAGGATGTGATTTTGCAAGCAGCTGTCATGGTGGTCCTTTGCTCTGTGGCCAAACAGCTCAGTGTGTACTCCTTTATCATCAGGGTCTAGTCCATCCCTTAAAAAAAAGCATCTGCCAGCTTTTCCAGAGAGCAAATGTTGCCAGGGCAGGCAGGAGAAGTGTGCCCACGCTGCTGCCCAAATCTGCTTGCTTATCACACACCAAGCAAAAGAGCAGAGCTAGAAGTGACTGCCCAACACCTGAGTACAGGGAGAGGGGTGTCTTTCTTACCCCAGCCCTGCCCCAACCAGCTGGTGTGTTTAGTGTTTCAGTGAAAGAAATGAGACTTCTGCTGGGGATGGGTGGCTTTAGGGGTTAATTATCTAACCTACTACCTGGACACATTTGTTACTCCCGTTGGTGGCATTTGCGGTCTCCCTTTGTTGCAATCATTAGGTTCCAGAGTGAACAATAGGCACGGGGTAGTTTACACTTGTCTTAAATATGAAGGGACTCCCCAGCTTTAATTGAATACCCTTCAAAGATGGTGCTTTCTAGCTGGGAAGTTTAGCAGCATCATTTTTGCTGTTGTGTTCCAGAGGGTACTGCTGGAGGTTTGCAGAGCCCTGCCTGGATGTTGGTGCCCCGTGGGCTCCTGTCCTATGGGCTTCATCTATTAGCACGTGTTTTGGGGCCAGGAGAACCTTCTTCTGGCTGAAGGCGTTGAGCCGTCTTCCGCGAGGGGTTCGCAGCTAATTGGTACAATCAATATTTGTTTTGCAAATGCAATTGGAGGGAAAGAGAGATTGAGCGCGCCAGAAATTCAATTGACCTGTAAAAACAGATACTGTGTAAAGGGAATCCTTTCCCTGCCAAGCAAATATTTAGAAAGGAGAAGCAATAAAATGAATAAGCAACAAAGTAATATCCTGCCTCCCCGGCTGCAGGAGGCTGCTGGGAAGGGCTGCTGCCCCCAACGCTGTGATAACCCCGAGCAGACGAGTGGTAGGAGCCTGTTTCCTAGAGAAAGCATGTTTGCTTTTACCATCTAATCCATCAAAAGCTCACCCCGGTGCCTCGGCAGCGCTGGTACCCGTCTCAGGTAGCCCAGCAAGCTGGGTACCAGCCCCACATCCCTACAGCAGTGACTGCAGCATGAGCCTGGTGGTGGTACAGGGGGTTTTCCTGCCCCTTTGTCTCTCCTCGTAGGGGTCTCTGTTCCTGAATCCCTGCGCAGCCTCCTCCGGTGCCCCAGTGATGGGAGCACACTGGGGAGGTCTGTGAGGGGCACGGGTGCTGTGGGGTGCAAGGGGCGTATGGGGTAGAGCATCAATGGTTCGTGTCTGGAAGGAAATTCCAGTGCACCTTGGTGAGGAAATCAAAATGGATAAGGAAAAAAAAAAACCCCAAAGGGTTTTTTTCAGATCAGAACGCTCCAGAAAAATGTTTTGGGTAGGGAGAGATGGGGTCCAGCCAGAGCTTTTGCCAAGTGGGAGCAGAGTGCTGGGGTTTCTCTTTTTCAGGTTGTTCAGTATCCCTGGGCACAGCCCATTGGTACCCCAGTGACTTGAAACAGAAAGATGTGCTTGAGCTTGTGTCTGAATTGAAAAACCTCTGTGGAAAACAAAGATTTTTCAGGAAAAAAAGCCCATATAACGCATGTACATACGTGTCTTTACAAATATATATATATATATATAAAAAAAACAATAGAGCAAGTAGAAGGAAGGGAAATTATTTTATGGGAAAAATCCCAACGAGCTCCGGCACTGAGCACCTTTAGGCCAGTTCGGAGCCTTCTGAGCATCTTCCCCCCATGATGGATACTGATCCCTCCTACTCATGTCAGGATCTGAGAGGACTTCTCATTTACTGACATCAATTAGAACCTTTTTTGGGGATGTTCTTGGCTACCAAAGCCACCTTGAAGTGCAGTCACTACACAGAAATCAAAAAGAGATTTAGATTTGCATTGGTGTAATACTGAATTTTCAAGAGAACGTTGGCTAAAAACATGGGCTTCCCTCCCAAACTTCCCCAGACCGAGGAGGAAAAACCTCTAGAGAAGCAAGTGAATTTTAAACACTTGGTAAGTTTTTCTGAGGTTTTATCCCTGCTTATTAAGAGACTGAGCTCCTCTAGGATGCTCAATACCTTTGGGGAGCTGATGCTCAGACCCAGGAAAGGCAGAGCAGCTCCGCATCTCCACACGAGATGTCATTTGGGAGCAAGTGGCTTGCTGGCATCCCTGTCGATGAGCTGCCCATCCTGGCTGCCCATTGCCAGGCTGACTCTGCCGATACGTCCCTGGGCCACCGATGGCATGAGAAAACCCCCTGTGCGCCGTCATCTGTTAGTGCAGCCCTGTCTTGAGTGCCATCGAGGTTACAAAATGTGCCCCAAGCATTCTTTTTCTCCTGAAACCTCAGCCCAAGAGCGCACGCTAGAAGAGAGCTGCAACATGAACTCAGTGGAGGAGGCGGAGGGGGGAAAAGATGGCTTAAATTTAATGTCTTTTTAGATGAATATTTCCCTTCATTCCAGAGCATATTCCTCTGGCATTTCCAGCGCTCTTGTTTAGCTGAGTAGTTAACAAACTTCATCGAAACACATGTTATAGTGCTCTCTAGTGCACGGAGCTATGAATGAAGGATGCCTCTTTTGAGATATCTCGATGTGCAGCGCAGCTTTTGCTCCGGAGCAGCCCGTTAAACCGCAACAGCTGCTTCCCATTGTGGAAATGCTATTGAAAAAAAAAAAAAAAAAAACCACAACAAAACCCCATCCCAACAACTTGGCAACACGCACAGATGATATTTATGCAGAACCCTGCGTGAGGGTGAGCTGGGGCACAGGGAAATAAAAGATAAGGCAAGAAATAACCCAGCCGGGAGACTGATATCTCCCCGCCGGCAGCGCCCGGTTTGCTCCCGCCGATCTCTGTTTGCCGAGCTGGGCTGAAGCAGCTGGTCTCTGCGTCCGACTTAAGTTTGCTCTGTTTAGCTTTTATACAGCCGAGCGATTTTTATAGCCACCGGAGCGCCGGGAAGCTCGACAGGATATTGGTGGCCTCCTAATGAGAGTTTTGCCGTGTTGGCACGTCGGCACGAACGCCCCGTGAATTTTAAACGCCTGGGAAACAGCCTCTCCTGCGGCCCCATCCCCGGAGCCCTTGGGGGGAACCTGGGTTTTCTGTTTAATAAAGGAAAAGGCAAGCCTTGGTAGTAGCCTAGGAGACTCGAGAGCAGCCGGGAGCCCCAGCGTCAGGGCTGGACCCAGTGCACATCCACCCGTACCGACCTCGATGGTGATGCTCCGGGAAAGCCCTCCAAAAGCCAAGGGAGCCTGTGCTGCCCTGGGCAGTTGGGGATTTGAATCATCCTGAGCGTGAGGTCGGACTGGTGGGACCAGGCTGGATGTGGACTTGGTCCCCTGGATTTGCCTGATCCCTTTTTGAACTTGGCATAAGGTGGATATAAATTTATGGCATCACTGGAGGTCCCCAGCCCTTCCTCTGCTGGGAGCGGGGCTGGCTTGGATGCTCGATCAGATTGTTCAGGGCTGAGGCAAGTCCAGTGCTGGCTATCCCCGAGGAAGGAGATTTCACAACTTCTCCACTTGATCTGAATGCACTTTGTTTTCCTTTTTTTTTTTTTTGTTTGTAACCCACCTTTTGAAATTCGGAATGGAAAATAGAAAGATTTTAATTGTTGGTTTTCTTTCTATTTTCATTTTCCGTCACAGGAGGTTTACAAAAAAATCAGAGGCAAATGTAATGACTTGTAAGAGGGGGTACCCTAAGCTGGAACAGAATGAAAATTGTTCCTCCCCCCACAGTGGTAAAGCACATCGAAAAAACAGCAGGTGTATAAAATCCCCAAAGGGGTAGGAAAACCAGCCTGCAGGATTTTTTAGCCAGGATTTCTGTTTCTTGTAAAGCCAAAAAAAAAAAAAAAAAAAAAAAAGTTTCAAGATCATCACGTTTTATCCACAAAATGAAAGACACAAACAGCATTTCCTTCTCTCCTAGTTATTCCTGACCTGCTTAAAAGCCAGCCAAATCAGGGTGGTGGCGGCGATGGCACATCCTCTTGCTCCTGGTGACTCTGCTTTTCCATCATTTGCCTCCCCATTAATCTCAGTACAAACAAAGGCTCTGAAGAGACAAGCTGAAAAGCTCCTGGGGGTACGTTTAAATCAGTCCTTTCTAATAATGTCTGTCGACCTCTCTGTGGAAGCACTGCTCCCCAAGGAAAGGACATGGAGCCGCGGCAGCGTGCTGAAATATGGTGGGGTGTAATTAATTCTGACCTCTGGCTCCCGCTCACTCACTCTCAATATTAAATTTGACTAGTGATATTGTGGTTTTTCAATTATCCTTGTTTTCTTGGGGGCATGGTGTGGGAGGAGGGGGTCGCTGCTTGAAATTTGGCTTGGTGGGAGATGCATCGGCTGGGATGCAGAACTGCCATGCCATGGGCTGGGACCAATCCTTGAATCATGTCCATTGGGATGCTCCTGAAGTCAGTAGAGGGTTTTTATCAGACTCTCCGATGGCCTGGAGGAGACTCAGAGCCATCAGCTCCTATAGGACCTTGTTGGTGAAAGTCTTCTTAGTATATCCTTGATCAGAAATAGAGCAACTTAAAGCAGCTTTAGAAGCCGTGCACTTGCTTGACCTTTTATTTTGGTGTAGAGAAGGCTTGAGGGTTGCTAGTGTATTTTGGCAGCGGCTGTTTGCTTGGAAGGCTTCGTTTGTCTGTTTGTTTAACCCTGTCATTCTCGCAGTGCCCCCGTGTGTCCCGTGTGGTCTCTCTGGAGTGTCCGGGGGGTGTTAAGTGACCACTTTTGGACCTTGTCCAGGAGACAAGAATGAAGGTGCCCTTTCCTGGGAAGGCTCAGATGGTTCGTGTGTGGCAGAAGGAGGGTTAAACAGCCCAGCACCTGCCGCCTCCTCCTCTGCTGTCCCCCTTTCTCCTTTGCTGCCACCTCCCCAGCACTCTCCTGTCACCAGCATCCTCTGCCATGGCACCAGGCATCGGGAGGGGTCATGGATGCTGCTTAGGTGCCAGTGAGCAAGGGCAGGAGCTCATTTAGTGATGCTCCTGCAGGACGCCCATGTATGGACTCCTCCAGTTTAAGCCCTCCAAAGCCTCCAGAGTCTTTGGACGGGTCTGTCCCCTCCTCCATGCCCCGCAATCCCCAACAGTGACTCCAAAAAGCAAGCTGTGCTTGTTGGCATCTCACTACTGTGACAGGCTCTCCGAGGCCAGAAAGTGTGCAGGGCTGGGGTGCGTGACAGAATGGGATGCTGGATGGGATAGGACCTCTGGGTTTGGACCCTGAGAGAGTTGGGTTGGGTGAAGAAAGGTGAAAAGCAGGACTCTCAGGCTTCACCTCCCTTCCTTGCTTTCCCTGGCCTCCTAGAGAACACAGCCACTGGCCGACTGCTCAGGGGTAGATTTGCAAGAGGCCAAGGGTTCACTTTTTAGAGTCCCCATCCCCGGTTGCCAGCAGTGGCTCGGCTGGACTCCAGGGAGAACTCATGCCCCAGGGCCATGGAGGTGAGTTCACATCAGCCCCCAGGATGAAATAAGCCCATTTCAGCCCGGTTGCCATGTCCCCTTGAAACGTCGGAAGATGCATTCAGGCAGCAGGAATGAGAAGGGCTTGAGCCGGGGTTGGAGGGGGTGGGGGGGGAGGAGAAGGGAAATTAAAAAAAAAAAAAAAAAAAAGAAAAACCCCCTTGCTGCAAAGGGGTTGCACCATTAGCTAATCTGACAGTCTGGACCGTATGTGCTCATGGTATGGACTGCTGTAGAAGACTAAATACAAAGTAATATCCTGAAGAAGGGAAAATAAAAAAAAAAAAAAAAAAAGGAAAACGCCACTTGCTGCAAAGTGAGCGAATTCTCCAATAAACCCGAATCTGCTGAGAATACATTTTACAAACATGCAGCGAAGTTGGCCGCTTTTGTTTGGGCGTTTGTTAAGCATTAACTAAAGAATGCCATGGTCCAGCCTGCTCGGTGTGAAACCTAATTCTCCCCCTTTCTGGAGCCATGGCATGGAGTGCTCAATTTTTTTCTCTCTGTAGGACTGCAGCCTTCTGGTACTCCAGCCAAAAAACACTCATATTTTAGCAAGCTTAGCCCCGGCCCCGTTGCCAGGCAGTAAAGCGAACACTTGTCCGCTTCGGGGGGAGGGAGCCAGGAGCTGAGGAAGGGTCAGAAGAACAGCCCCAGGGAAAACATCCCTCCTCCGTCCCACCAGAGAGCTCTCTGAGAGCTTGGGATGTGTGGGGAGGGAAGGCAAGGGTGGCTGTGGGTGCTCTCCTCTGACAGCCTTGGGAGCCTGGAGACCTGGGGTGGGTTTGGAGGTCCCCAGGAATTGCTGGTGCTGGGTTGCCCTCCAAAATGTTCTCATCCCCAGGATACGTGAGCCTCCTCTCTGCAGTGCTGAGATGGACTCAGCCCTTTCCTAGTAGCTTCCATGGCCTCTGCACCCCTCCTGCCCGGGGCCGAGGATCAATGTGATCCCCCCATTGCTGCGGCCGGGGGATGCTCTTGCATCAACCCCCCCAACGCTGGGGGGGTTGCATTCATCCCCCTTCCTGCTCGGCCACGATCCATGCCCCATGCCTCACCCTGTTGTCCCACGAGGGCCGGAGGAGGGGACAGGGTGATGTGAGCCCAGCAGCAGCAGGAGAGCAACTCGTTCCCAAGCCATGGGTGCAGGACTGACAGCGACTGGCATTTTTCCACTGCCAGCCCGTCAGCGACCTGGTGCTGCCATCCCCCCCCTTCCGACGAGTGACAGTGAGTGAGAAGATGAGCTGGTGCCAAAACAACTCAATCCGGCATCCCCGCTCCCCACAGAGGCCTATGATCTCACTGCCGGCGCCCACCTCCTCCTCCCCTCAGTCCGGGCACAGTCATCAGCTCATCTCCACACCAAGGTGGTGGCTCCAGGGGAGGATCATGGCTTTGCTCCCCGGAGAGCTGTCGGTTGGGGATGGCTGGAGCTCCTTGCCCCTCTGATGGATCAGTCGGGGGTCTGCTTAATCACAGAAGAATCTTCTAGGTTGGAAGGGACCTTAAAGATCATCTTGTCCAACCGTCAACCTAATTTTGACAAAAATAAACACCCACACAACAAACAAAAAAGCAACACCATCACTAAACCATATCTCCCAGCACTACATCAACCCGTCTTTTGAACACCTCCAGGGAAGGTGCCTCAACCACCTCCCGGGGCAGCCCATTCCAATGTCTGATAACCCTTTCGGTGAAAAAATTTTTCCTGATATCCAGCCTGAACCTCCCCTGGCGTAACTTAATCTCCTCCTGGGCCACGGTGAGAGCAGGAGATGAGTTGGCCTGGGGGTCACTCGGGGGGGCTGCCCCTGCCCCTCTCACCACATCCCTGGGCCAGGCTGGCGCAGGCAGGGAGGAGAGCATCTCTCAGCTGGGCAGAGCTGCCTTGCCTTACCCGCTGCGTGAACCAGGGCTCCGTGTGGCGTTTGAGATTGGTCCATCAGTATTTAATATCAGCATCCCTGACTTGTCGCACCCCCCCTCCTCCTCCTTGCCCCCCGGGGGGGCTCTGAAGGGCCGTGTTTGTATGCTGTGCACGCAGACAGACAGCAGCCGGGAAGCGCCTGTCAATCATGGCCCCTTTCAGCCTGTCACCTCAAAATAAAGGGAGAAAGAGGGGGTGGTGGCTCCGATGGGAAGCCGGGGCTGCCCGCCCCGCTCCCCTTCCATCGGGGCAGGAAGGGACATGGGATGCGCCGCCCCAAAGGTGGCTTCAGCCACATGTCGAAATTTCTAGTTTTTAGTGATGCTGCGTGGATGGGAGACCCCGAAGCGGAGGTCTGGGCTGGCTTTCTGGAGGAAAAGGAATTGCGCAGAGAAGTGGGACTGTGTCCCAGGGGAAAGGGGGGGGGATGTCTGTAACACCGGCGACCTCACTCGGGGGTCTTCCACCAGAAATGTTGCACTTTTGGAAATGGCAAAATGTTTTGTTTCAAGATTTTCTTGAAACTCATCACCACCGCCTTTCTGTTTCAAAACTGCAGATTGTCATTTCAAAAGGGACCTAAATTTTTTTAAAAAATATTTTAATGCGGATTAATCAATATAGGAACATCTAAATGTTGTGATAAAAATTGCTTGCATCGCCGTATTTTTGTGCCCATTCTTCCTAAGTTGAGCGGGTTTGTTTTCATTTCCAAATATTCTCTGTCAGTGCTTCACTGAGGCTTTTACTGAGCTGGGTTTCCTCCGAGCATCACAGCACCGAGCGGGTCACCCCGTCCTGTGCCCTCTTCCTGCCAGCTTTGTATGTGGCTGAACAAACCCAGAGGCTGCCAGCCAGGCCTTATGTAGCTTTTGAACCTCAAGCTATGGAGAGAGAAAAGAAATCAGTAAGAACTAAAGCCCGCAGCATCTGTAGGATGACAGAAATTAAGGTGCTCACATTGCAATTTAGAGATTGGTAACTTGTTCTTGGTTTAAAACCTGTTGGAAGTCCCTGGGCAGAGCTCGTCCTTCTTCTTTTCTGTGCATCCTTCTGTAAAGAAACGTAATCTCAACTTTGTAGTTGCAGGAAGGCATAAAGAAGCAGAGAGGGGAGAAAAGATGGCATTTGCTCTGCTGCTTGCAGCAAGAGCGAGCTGGGCACAGAGCTGGAGATCCCAGAGATGGAGGAAAACATCTCTGGATCCAGGGTGGTGTGTCTTGCTCAGGCAAAAATGTTAAATTAATTGCTAGATCTGGTGCTGGAACGAAATTTTCTTTCAGCCCCATTATGGGCTGACCAGGGGTGTTTCAGTTGGGTTATCCATGCAAGGGTTATCCATGCTGGAGTTATTCTCAGTGGGGTTACTTCTGTGTGGGGTTATTCCCGAGTGGGATTACCCATGCGTGGGATTATATGTGTGTATGGGGGGGATTATCCATGTATGCTCTTCCTCCCCAGTCCCTGTAGAGGAGCTGGTACTGTCCAGGACTGTAGGGATCTGGGACATCAGCGATGCCCTTTGCTCTCTCCCCATTACTACCTGTGGCAGGCTGCAGATTTTACGTCTGTGACCTTTTAGTGCCTAAAATCTGGGTTTATTGT